TAATATTTTAGTCACTTGCCCTTTCTGTTAAATGCCCCAGTTTCCGAAAAATAGAAACTAGCCCCTATCTTTTCCCATTTTACTTTTGTAGGAGAACCAAGGTGTCTAGAGTTGTTTCCGTTACATTATGTAAATTGCCTTTTGTTTTGAATTCCATTTTTCATTCTTTTACTGAAATAGATTCTGGGTTGCAGTTATGCTAAAAAAAAACCCAAACCACGCACATTTATTCTGAAGGCTGTTCCTCCTGTGCAGGGGCGTCTGCCTGCTTTTGCTGTGGGTTTCTGGGAAGGAAATCAGGTCAGCAGCAGTGAATGAAGATGTGGGGGTGAGCCTCTGTGATTCTGGTCCCGCTCTATCATGAATTGTCATGATGGAGCTGGCCGTCCTCAGTGCTGCTCCCGAGAGCCCCTGTGGGTGGCGCTGCAGCGCCCCTGTGCCGGGGCACCAACCACTGCCATCACACCTTAAAGCCAGAGGTGCCCATTCCTTCTCCAGAACATGAGGGAATAGGGTACCCACTCATGGGTTTATACCAAAGGGTAAGAAATATAAGCAGAATAACTAGCCTTTTAAAGTTTATTTTAGAAATGCTAGACTGCCCTGATCGGTGTGGCTGCGTTGGGCGATGTCCCACAATGTGAAAGATCAGTGGTTCGAGTCCCTGTCAGGGCACATGCCTGGGTTGCAGGTTTGGTTCCCCAGTCGTGTGGAGGCCACCGATTGATGTTTCTCTCCCCCTCTTTCTCCCTCCTTTGGTTCCCCAGTCGTGTGGAGGCCACTGATTGATGTTTCTCTCCCCCTCTTTCTCCCTCCCTTCCCCTTGCTCTAAAAATACATAAACAAGTAAAATCTTTTAAAAAATGCAATTAAAAAAAGAATCATTTGAATTCTTTTGGGGCTCCTAATCCTTTTTATAAAGCTCTTCCCAAGAAGTTTGCTATGTAGTGTGAATTTATTAACTTAAATCATTCACCTAGAATAATGGAAATACAGCAACCCTCAGGTATCCAAGACCCTCTCCCAAGTCTAGTTTCTGAAGGAGTGCGCATCTAGGATGAATTGTTAGGCTTCATTCTTCTCTCCTTTTTCCCCAAACCGTTTCACATAGGTGAAGTCAGATTAAATGGTGCCGTGAAAATAATAGGTGACCTTGGGGGAGAAAACGTGCTTCTAGAGGCAGCCTGACGAGTTGTCTAATCCCTCGGGGGTTGTCCAGCCACTTCCCCCGCAGTTTGCCTGAAGATCAGCAGTAGTGGTGTCTCACAGGGATTTCTGTTTATTTATTTATTTCTATATAGTTTATTGATTATGCTACTACAGTTGTCCCATTTTCCCCCTTTCACTCCCCTCTACCCTGCACACCCCCTCCCACCTACATTCCCCCCCTTTAGTTCATGTCCATGTGTCACAAGTTCTTTAGCTTCTACATTTCCCATATATTCTTGCCCTCCCCCCGTCTATTTTCTACCTACCGTCTATGCTACTTATTCTCTGTACGTTCTTCCCCCCTTCTCCCTCTCCCTCTCCCCTGTTGCTAACCCTCCATGTGATCTCCATTTCTGTGGTTCTGTTCCTGTTCTAGTTGTTTGCTTAGTTTGTTTTTGTTTTTGTTTTAGGTGTGGTTGTTAATAATCGTGAGTTTGTTGTCATTTTACTATGCATGCTTTTTATCTTTTTCTTAGATAAATCTCTTTAACATTTCCTATAATAAGGGCTTGGTGATGATGAACTCCTTTAACTTGACCTTATCTGGGAAGCACTTTATCTGCCCTTCCATTCTAAATGAAAGCTTTGCTGGATAGAGCAATCTTGGATGTAGGTCCATGCCTTTTATTACTTGGAGTACTTCTTCTCAGCTCCTTCTTGCCTGTAAGGTCTCTTTTGAGAAATCAGCTGACAGTCTGATGGGCACTCCTTTGTAGGTAACTGTCCCCTTATCTCTTGCTGCTTCTAGGATTCTCTCCTTCATTTTTATCTTGGCTAATATAATGATGATGTGCCTTGGTGTGTTCCTTCTTGGGTCCAACTTCTTTGGGACTATCTGAGCTTCCTGGACTTCCTGGAAGTCTTATTTCCTTTGCCAGATTGGGAAAGTTCTCCTTTATTATTTGTTCAGATATCTTTTCCACTTGTTGCTCTTCCTCTTCTCCTTCTGGTACCCCTATAATTTGGATGTTGGAGCATTTAGAGGTGTTCTGGAGGTTCCTAAGCCTCTCCTCATTTTTTTGAATTCTTGTTTCTTCATTCTCTTCTGTTGATTGTTTCTTTCTTCCTTGTGGTCCACTCCATTGATTTGAGTCCCAGTTTTCTTTCCATCACTATTGATTCCCTGTACATTTTCCTTTATTTCACTTAGGGTAGCCTTCATTTTTTTCATCCAATTTGTGATCAAAATCAAGCAGTTCTGTGAGCATCCTGATCACCAGTGTTTTGAACTGTGCATCTGATAGGTTGGCTATCTCTTCGTCACTTAGTTGTATTATTTCTGGAGTTTTGATTTGTCCTTTCACTTGGACCTTTTTTCTGTTTGTTTTGATGTGCCTGTTACATAGTGAGGGGCAGAGCCTTAGGTGTTCACTAGGGTGGGGCAACCCAGCCTCTGGGTTGTGACCCTGTATGTGGGGTAGGGTCTGAGAGGGAACAATGGCGCTTGCTCCACTCTCTGCTGGATTTCAGTCACTTCCACTGCTTCCCTCAAGCAAACTGGGCCCTTCTGGTGCTGATTCCCAGGTGGGTCGGTTTGTGTACTTCCTGGGACCCTGTGGGTCTCACAAAGGAACTCTCCTGTGAGGCTGGGAGTCTCTCCCAGAACCTCAGCCCCCATAGGTGTTTTCAGTCTGTGTTTTGAGGCTTTATTTCCCCTTGGAACCCTGGGTTGCCCGGTCTGTCTCGCTCCCCAGTTTCGCCTGGTTTATCTGTGTGTGAATGTGGGACCACCTGGGGTCTGCCAGCCATGCCACTTTGTCAGGACCCTGCTCCACCTGGCCGCCTGACTCTGCTCCTCCTACTGGTCTGAGTGAATGTTTCTTCTTTAACTCCTTGGTTGTCGAACTTCCATATATTTCAATTTTCTGTCAGTCCTGGTAGTTTTTTTTTTGTTTGTTTCTAAATTTTTGTTGTCTTTTTTTTTTTAAGATTTTATTTATTTATCTTTAGAGGGGAAGGGAAGGAGAGAGGGAGAGAAACATCAGTGTGTGGTTGCCTCTCTTGTGTCCCCTGCTGGAAACTGGCCTGCAACCCAGGCCTGTGCCCTGACTGGGAATCGAACCATGATCCTTTGGTTCTCAGGCCTGTGCTCAATCCACTGAGCTACACCAGTCAGGGCCATTGTCTTTATTTTTGGTTGGGTGAGGAGGCACGGTGTATCAACCTACACCTCCATCTTGGCCAGAAGTCTTCACAGGGATTTAAAAAAACTGATTTTAGAGGGAGGGGAAGCAGGAGAGTGGGGGCGGCGGGAGAAAGAGAGAAAGAAACATTGATTTGTTGCTTCACTTATTGATGCATTTACTGGTTGCTTCTTGTACGTGCCCTGACTGGAGATGGAACCTGCAACCTTGGTGTATCGGGACAGTGCTCTGACCAACGGAGCTACCGGCCAGAGCCTCTCATAGGGATTTTAATTGGAATTTCTCTAACAACTAATGATGATGAGTTTATTTACATGTGTGTATTATCCATTTATATAGTTTCTTTGGTGAAAATGTCCATTAGAATACTTTGCTCATTTTAAAGTTAAATTGTCTTATAATTGTGAAGAGATTTCTTTTTTCCAAGTGTTTTTATTATTAGATTCAACAGACAAAGAATATTTTAATAAATATATAATCAGAACAAATAAAATATAGGGAAACAGAAAATAAAAACTGTATACACAGTTCATTGAAAGTAACAAAAAGTTAGATTGAAATAGCTACTTTTCCTATATTAAATGCCTAAACACAGTTTTGAACAAATACTGTATACCAATATTTAAGTTATGTATAAATATTACATTTTTAATGTGATGAATGAATTTGTTAAAATTTATCTAATGTAGATTGTAATTATAATTGGATTATGAGAGATTTTAATCTCTTCTGCATACAGGTCCTGTATTAGATATATGACCTGCAAATATTTTCTCCCAGTTTTGGCTTTTCTTTTAATTTCTTAATGGTATTGTTGAAAAGCAGAAGATTTAAATTTTGATGTCCAGTTTATCAATTTTTTTTTTTATGAATTGTTTTTGGTGACAATCTAAGAAACCTTTGCCTTTGCCTTACCCAGAGTCACAGGGACTTTTCTCCTATGTTTTCTTCTATAAAGTTTTTTTAGTTTAGCTCCTTACATTTAGGTCTTTAATCCATTGGAGTTGTTGTTTATGGTGTGAGGTAAGTGTTCAGTTGTTTCTGTACCATTTGTTGAGACCAGTGCATTCTCTCCCCATCCCAGTTGTGTTGGCATCTTTGTTAAGAACCAGTTGATCGGCACTGCGTAGGTTTTGTTTCTGAACGCTGCCTGTTCTGTTTATCTGGTGTGAGGTCTCTACCACACCGTCCTGGTGACTGTGTGTTTGTAGGAACTTTTGTAATCAGGTCATGCAGGTTCTCCAGCTTGCTGTTTTTCACGTTTGTTTTGGCTTTTCTATGTTTTTTTATATTTCCATATGAATCATGGAATGATGTTGTTGGTACCTTAAAAAAATTCTGCCGGGATTTTTCATTGTAATTGCCTTTACTCTATTGGCCCATTTAAGAATGGTTTTCTTAAGAATATTGAGTCTGGCATTTATGAACATAATATAGCTCCCCATTTCTTTGGATCTGGCTTTTAAAAAAAATTGTAGTGACTCGAAATGATGCCTTTGACAATTTTGTTCAATGTAAAGTTTTTTGTCAAAGGCACTAGCAGGTATGATTGTGTTATATTGTACTACTTGTAATACTTAACAGAAACTCTAGTGGAGGGAAAAACAATGGTACTTTGTAACTTTTGTTTCATTTTCCTATTTCCAGGGTCTCCAACTGAATTCCTTGAAGAGAAAATAGCCTACCAGGGATATCAGAACAACCAAAACTGGCCAGAAAGTACAAACTTCTGCTTTCAACCCGAGCAAGTGGTGAATCCTATCCAGACTGGTGAGTAGGCTTGTCTGTGACTGCTGAGTGTAAGCCATGATGCAGTCATGAAGAATCCACAACCACTACTCAGATAAAAGCATTTTAGCCCCAAACAGCTTGTCACGGACAATCGAGGTACAGTTATTAACCCTGAACATGTAGGTGATCCTTACTCCTCACTGTTTATCTGGTCTTTTGCACACGTGCCTCTGGTTCTCTCCCTTTCAAAACTTGAATTGAGTAAATTAACTGAAATTTGTATTCATTGAACCTTAATGCGTCCAAAAGGAATTATAATAATACTAGCATCATTTGCTTTTTTTTCCTTTTTATTGAATTTATCGGGGTGGCACTGATTAACAAAATTGTACAGGTTTCGGGTGCACAATTCCATAACACATCATTGGAAGGTTTTCTTAGGCTCTGCTGAGGAAGAAATGCCAATCAGCCACGAAGTTAGGCAGTGTAGAGCTTCATTGGGGTTTGCGCCCCGGGCCAGGTTCCCAGGTCCTCGGAGTGGGGCCGGGGAAGTCGTGCCCCAGCAGGGAATGTGGCGGGGTTTTATTCTGGTTGGCTCTCTTTGTGGGAGCTGGGGATTGGTCCCCTTTGAACAAAGTGGCAATATATCATTGGTGGTTCTCCTTGGGCTCAGGTTGCTATGTGGATAAAGCCCACCCTTTCGGCTCCCTGGTTTGACGTCAGCCGTCTTTTCTGGGTTGTAGTTCGGCCGCCATTTTGTCCTACCCCGCCCATCCTGACAATCATCTGTCCACTGTATGGTGTGCTCACCACCTCAAGGGAAGTCTCCGTCCATCAGCATTTAATAGCACCATTTGTTGAGTGCCCATTTTGTGCCACAGTACTCCAGCTGTTCTGTTTTAAAGATTTTATTTATTTATCTTTAGAGAGGGGAAGGGAGGGAAAGAGAGAGGGAGAGAAACATCAATGTGTGGTTGCCTCGTAAGTGCCCCCTACTGGGCACCTGGCTCACAACCCAGGCATGTGCCCTGACTGGGAATCAAACTGGAAACCCTTTGGTTTGAAGGCCAGCACTCAATCCACTGAGCCACACCAGCCAGGGTGCTATAGCCTTTATATACGTATTATTTCATTTTTTAAGAGAGTTTTTTAGAAAAGGGGAAGGAAAGGAGAGAAAGAAGGAGAGAAACATCAGTGTGCAGTTGCCCCTCCTGTGCCCCCTACCAGGGGCCTGGCCTACAACCCAGGCATGTGCCCCGACTGGGAACGGAACTGGTGACCCTTTGGTTTTCAGGCCCTCGCTTAATCCACTGACCTCACCAGGCAGGGCTATATACATATTATATATGTTTCTTACCTAACTTCCAAATATATATTATCCTCATTTTACAGAGTAGAAAACTAAGACTTATACCCACTTTTTATAAAAATTCAAACCAATCTGTGGATACAAAAAGCATAAGTGCATTTGTCTAGACCTGGAAGCGGTGGAAGGAAGGGCTTGTCGAAGGGCCTCAGAACAGTGGCCTCAGAGCCTCCGTGTCACAGTCAACCAACCTGAGAGCCCAGCTTATTGTTTCCACCTATATATGGGTGTTTTTTGCCATCAAACTTATAACAGACACAAAGCTGATTTCCAATTAGTGAATATTTATTGATTTGTTCCATACAGTGACATTATTTCAATTTCTTTAAGTTACTATTGACAACACACGTGTAACTAATCAATACTCATTGGGTAATAAGGAACGCTTTCTCTTAGTCATAGTCACCGGGACCTTCAACCCTCTCTTTATTCCAGACCCCTTTAAGGTGCACCGTGATGATGACCTGGAGGATCTGCTCTCTTTCCCCAGCGCACCAACCAGTGCCTCAGCCTTTACGCCACAAAACAATCCCCTGGAAGACAGTTACGGTAGGACTGCCCCACAGCTGGGTTTATTTCTTGAGGCAGTTAATGTGGCCTTCACTCCATCACCCTCGAAATGAACCTCTAAGCAAAGCCATGTTTAGGGGTTCTGGCCGGGACAGTGTGATTTCTAGATCAGTCCTGGGGGAGGATGCAGTCGGGGTCTCTGGTCGCTCACCTCCCGTCACAGGATCTTGAACCCCATGTCCTGGAGCCAGACTCTGTCTGCAGGTTTTACTCCCTCGTGGCCTTGGGCAGGTTTTGTCCTCCCCACTCTTTGGTTCTTCATCTATAAAATGGGGCCAAAAGTAGTTCCCACCTGAGAGATGCAGTGATGATTGAATCAAATTATGCAGAAACACTTAACATTGTGCTCATTACATAGTGAACATGAACAGATCTGGTTTATCAGTGAGTAGTCTCCTTGTTTCTGGTTTTATATAACTTTTTTTTTTTAATCTTTTGAAGGGAAGGGAAGGAGAGAAATGTCAATATATGCTTGCTTCTGGTGCATCCCCTGCTGGGAACTGGCCTGCAACGCAGGCATGTGCCCTGACTGGGAATCGAACCTCAATCTTTTGGTTCGCAGGTCCGCGCTCAATCCACTGAGCTATACCAGCCAGGGCCTGGTTTTGTATAACTTTTAACATGAGTGTGGCCAGGATATCGGAGGTGAAACAGAATTTACTTCTACTCATCTTCGGTTTTTAGCTGGACCCTAACGAAAAGATAGATTACCAAGAGAAGAACAGTTTATTAACACACGTACTGTACATCACACAAGAGAAAAGTAACTCAAGGTGATTGCTTAAAGTCTCTGTTTCTGTAACATCTTCAACAAACAACAACAACAACAATAAATTTGTTGACAGGAAAAGGAAAGCAAGTTTAGGTTTCTAAGAGTGGCAGTCCGTACATAAACGTACGGGAGGGAACGAGTGGGTTTGTTCATAGGCTGCTCTGGTGCCCTCTCAGGATGGTAAGAGTTTAATCTCCAGTAAAAGGAGAATTTGTATCCTGCCTCTAGGCAGAAAGTGGGCAGCTTTTTCTGAGTTTGCTGCTTCTTAATTGCCTTCAGCTCAAAATAATCTTTCAGTCAAAGAGGCACATTTTGGGGTGGCATATTCTGGTTCCCTCCAGTAGCCAGCATTGGCAAGCCCACGTCAAACAGTGTGTATAATTCTGTGTTTGTAAAGATCCTGGCCAACGGTGCTGCATGGAGGCTTTTCTTTGGACTCTTGGGAAAAGGATATTAAATGAGTTGCTATCCAGCTAGTCTCCTGATGCTTTGATTTTTGGCTTTGACTCCTATTTTTTCCCAGCTCATTAGTCGCATTAGTTGAGTCATTTAGTTGCATGGACTTCTTTCTTCAAAGCATCTTTCTTCTCTGACTTCATGCTCCCTCTGCTTTTCCACACAGTGAACCCCTGTCATACCCCTGTCATTTCACACTAGACCACCTCATGGTCTCACAGCAGAATTGCTGCTCCCCTTTAAAGTCCTTTCTGAGCAGACCTGCCATGCTGATTGCCCCGAGTCCCTCTTCTGAATTTGTCGTCTCATTCTCTTAGTGAAGACCTTAGGGCATCCTGTTTGTTTTTTTTGTCTCTTGAAGTTTAAATTTCTCTGGCTTTCCAGATCCCCCCCCCCCCCCCCCCACCGTTTGTCTCATTTTATTTTCCCTTGCTGGTGTGCGAGATCTGTTTGACTCAGATGGTCTCAGTCCAAGAAACATTTGCGTCCTGTTGGCATCTTCATTTTTTTTTCTGTGTTTTTCATCCTTGAAATGGACTATTCTCTTCTCTCTTCCTGCTCTTGCTTCTCCTCCAAAGCCTTTCTGGTCCTTGTGGTTGTTTTTAAACTCATATCACTTAGTTCATGCTACAGGTTTTGTATTATTTTATCTCTGCGAAGGATCTTGCCTCTCCTGCTAAATTGTAATAATCTTGATGGCAAGGGGTTATTATATCCCCTATTGAGTCTGGCAGTGAACCATAATAATCCTTTGACATCATCTAGTTGTTAATAATTTACCAAGCATTTCCGACAGGTTGTCTTCTAATTTGGAAAGGTAGGTATTAATCTCTTTTTAAGGAGGGAGGAAATTAGGACCCACAGTTCCTTACTACACGTTGTGTTGTATTTGTGATATTGGAGCTAGAGCTCGATCTTGGGTTTTTGAATCTTTGTAATACACTCTCAGAGGCTGATACGTGGCACAGCAGGGGTTTGGTGACATAACACAGGCTGTTAATTAGCCGGAAACTGGAGAATGTCTACAGTGCTTAATTTAAAACTTTCTTGCTTTGTTTTTCATAGGTCCTTAGGTCTCCATCTTTAAAGCTTATTTTAAATACCAAATGCCTTCCCTGCAATGTTGACTGAGTTTTAAAGACATCTTTGTTTGTGTTCGTTATCAGGTCTGTTTCCCTGTGACACATTTGCTCCTGCAGTGCTTGTGCCTCAGATCTGTCCTGTGGGACCCCCAAACTCTCCCCATGCTGGGGTCTTCCCAGAGGCCTCACAACCTCTGCAGCCCGCAGCATGTAAGTCATTGGAACCTCCCTCTGTCGGTTTGTGGTTACAGTACCAATAATCAGTCACCAGATATAGTTTTTAGCAGCACACAGCAGCATAGATAAAAATGTTAGAATGGCCACAAATTTTTTTAAACTTACTATTACTGATTTTACAGCTAGAGGAATAAAGTTGTAGTTGACATATAAGACTTGGGATAAATGAGCAAAGAAAATCCCTTTTTAATTCGGTGCAGATTTAAAATTCAAGGGTTCCACTGGTCCCCTTTCTGACACTAACTGTGTGGTGTGGTGTTTTTCTTTAACCTTGAGTTTTTTCTCTTCTTTGCCTTTTCTCTCCACTATTTGTTCTCCCAGTAGCCTGTTCTTCTCAGTACAGGGACTGTCAGAGGAGGCAGATGCGTTAACCACACAGCTTCTTAGTTATATTTAGGGTGTTAGGCTCACAAAAGCCAGATGTCCCTGTGCTCTAAGAAAGTGTGTTTTGAATGCAGAGCCATGGGCAGACAGTGATGGGCCCTAAATGTCCAACGTGTTTCCCTCAGGGCCAGCCGAGGAGGCAGAAGTGGCATCAGCAGAAGAGAAGGCCCCAACAGAAGCATTGGAAATCACGATGGGACTGAAGTCTGCTGATAGGGCACCATCTAGAGAAACAGAGGTGGCCCTGGCTAAGGACACAGCTCCAATCACAGAAGCAGAGGTGGCATTGGCCAAAGATGTGGAACCACCTACCAAAGAAGATGTGGCATTTGCCCAGGACATGGAATCGTCCATCAGATCAGGTGTGACTGTAGTCAAGGACATGGCACTCCCTACAGAAACAGAGGAGACCCCAGCCAAGGACGGAACACTATTCAAAGAAACAGAGAGGGCACCACTTATAAAACTGGATTTCACACCAGCTGAGGGCATGGGATCACTCTCAGAAACGGGGATGACACTGGCTAAGGATGTTGTGTCATCTGCAGAAATAGCCTTGACCAAGGAGTTGGCCTTGTCCTCACAAACAGAGGTGGCCCTGGTCAAGGACATGACTCCATCCCCAGAAACAGAGGTGGCTCTGGTCAAGGACATGACTCCATCCCCAGAAACAGAGGTGGCTCTGGTCAAGGACATGACTCCATCCCCAGAAGCAGAGATGGCCCTGGTCAAGGACATGACTCCATCCCCAGAAACAGAGGTGGCTCTGGTCAAGGACATGACTCCATCCCCAGAAGCAGAGATGGCCCTGGTCAAGGACATGACTCCATCCCCAGAAACAGAGGTAGCCCTGGTCAAGGACATGGCTTCACCCCCCAAAACAGAGATGACCCTGGCTAAGGATGTTGTACCACCCTCAGAAACAGAGGTGTCACCAGTTCCAGTTAAAGACACAGAAGTTGTCCGACCGCAGGGAGAAATACGTGAGGTTTCCCAGTTAGAACCTCTCCAGAACGAAGGGCATTCGACTGCACCTACTTCCATGATTTTACCAGGTACGGGCTTACGTTTACTCTCAGTGTTTCTGTCTACCAGCACGTAGTCTCCAGAAGGGCAAGGGGCAAGCCCCGTGCCAGGTAAAATAAAGACAGTACTTTGCAAATCTATATACATTCTGCTCCCCCAGACATTTACTTCTCACCTTCACCCTCCTCCAACACCTCCTTCATTCTTACTCGTTGCTGACCTTATTTTTCTTATAATCCACTAAGCAGTGAGAGAGGACATTCACAACCTCTCCCGCCTCCTCGGCCTAACTGCTTGTGACTGTGTTCAGAGACTCCTGTTACTGGAAGTGAACCCCCCAGGTCCTCATTGAGGCCGCCTCTCTGTTTTGTGCTAGATCCCATCTCTCCCTGCCTACTTCAGCGTGTCGCCCTGGCTGTCCTCTCCTTTCTTGCCTCTCTCCGGTGCTTGTCCCACTCCACTGACTCTTTCCCACTAACCTACCAACACTTCCTACTTTCCCCATCTTAAAAACAAACCAACAAAAGCCCTTTCAGCTCCACCTTCCTGCTACCACTTCCTTTTCAGCTGACCCAGCAGGGGCGTCCCTTATTCTTCAACCACTGTTCCTGCTTCCAGTTCCTGGAAGGTGGAGAAATTGTTGAATTGTGCTTCTCTGAAACCTGTGTGGTTTTTACTGTCATCTTTAGAACCAGTCACAGCCACCGGCCAAAAGTTCAACTTGCCAACAGATGAGGCATCTGTGTTAGAGAAACTAGAGCAAAAGAAACCATTCGGTAGTCAACCTTCTGAGTTTCCTTCCGAGACCTCAGGTAAGTCAGGAGAATGAATTGGGCCCTCTGGAACCACTGAAACTGGGGTGGTGGTGATTGGCAGGGCCATTTACGAGGTCAGGTCTCTTCTTTAGATAGGCTTTGTCTTGTCTAGGCAGCAAGTCAGCTCATCACATACTTTTAAGTGAGCACTACGCCAACTCAGGACACCTAAGTTTTAATCCAGGTCAGCTGTCCACTGTTCTGCGCCGTGTGGTCTTAAGTGGGTTAGTTAACTTGCCTCATTTACCCAGGAATATTGCAGTGTTCTATGCACCCTTGCAGGTTTCAGTGTGGTTCACAGCCCAGCAGCTTCGGAGTTGTCTGGGAGCATGTGAGAATTTTGTGATTTTGGGCTCCACCTCAGACCTTCAGAATCATAATATGCATTTTCACAAGTTTTCCAGATGATTCTTATATACATTAAACTTTGAGAGGCACTGCTCTCAGATACTCCCTAGTTTAAAGCTCAATTATTCAGTGAACTTAAAGATTATATGCTTTTTACTGTAAGCCTGAAACATGTACAAATCAACTTGATTCTCAGCTTACTTTTCTGTGACTGATTAGAATGTGTGAGCTGGAGGGCAGGGACCATGACTGATTTTGCTTATGGTCTGTAGTGCTTTGCACACTCTAGCACCAGGAAGGAGCAAAATAAACATTTGTATTTTTTAAAAATGTTGTTCTAGTGATTCAGCATACCAGTAAAAATGTATCAGTTTTTATTGTGTATAAAATACACCGTGCTAAAGCACACAGGTGCTTAAGTCCAGGTCCTGGCCGTTGTGTGGTTATGTTATAGCCAGAGCAGCTGTAATGTAATGGTTCAGAGAACTTCTCAAAGAAGTTCCCAGGCATGAACTCTGAAAGCAAAGATTTATATAATCTAATTAAGTCACATAACAGATGGCACCAAAGAACTGCTGATCAGTTGCTGGATTAAATGGTATAAATGTTGTAGGTGCAAGAGCCTAGCAATGTTTTTGAGAGAAGCTGTAATTGACCTGAGGTATTGAATGAAAGGTAGGATTTGGAGGACTTTGGAGGGGTAACGACAAAAACAAAAGGTACTGTTTAAGTATTTTAATAGTCCCTGAAGCCATCTCATGGGGTCTGACTTGGTAAGGGCTGTCCTAGACCTGCTCTTCGTGGGCTCTTCCTGGGGTCCCAGGTCCGTGCGGCATTGACTTGGAGACAGGAGGTTGGCCCAGCTGACTTCCTGAAACTTTCCCGAGGACGTTTATCCCAGTTGTTTGAATTCATTATCCTACCTGGCATTATATATATTTAGGGACAGAACATTGAAATCTAACACATTTGTCTTAAAGTGGGACACTGCACTGGTTCCAGAGTGATGAGAATTTTTCTCTGACCACAAGGCTGATTCAGTATCTTTTTCTTTTTCCTTTTCCTCGTCTCCTAATTCTTCTTCTTCTTCTTTTTTTTTTTCTGTAGTAGGATAAGCCTGGCCTTCTGGTCTATTTCCCAGAATTGATCTAGTTAGTTTGATAATTAAGTAGTATAATATTGGTGGCAGACTCATAGAATTATAAACTGTCCAAGATCATACTTATTTCATTCAGTTATTAAATAAATGTCACCAAAAACAGATAGGAGCTTACCATTTTATTGCAGAATTGGGAATCATGTGCCTAATAACAATAATGACATATAAATAAGTATCAGTTGAGATTTATAGGTGGTAAGTGCTTATTATAGGGGTTAGAAAATCTCTGTATTTCTTTTTTTCAGTTTTAAATATTTTGTAAATATGTTTGAAAAAAATCTTTACTTGAGATGATCTTTGCTAAATGTTTGCTAATCCCAGTTAAGTTTGAGGAATGTTACCAAAAAAACCACTTTTTCTAAATGAATTAGTATGTGGGGTAGTGAAAATAGACTACTTAAATGAGTCACTAAATGGACTTTTTAAAAGAAACAATAACAAGGAGTTTTCTTTGTGGGATCTTGGCCACCTTCCTATATTGCAGGTACCCTTCCCACACAAGCCAAACAAGTGTGCAGGCCCAGTGACCGCAGGGCCGCCAGGCCCCGGCCTGCCAGGATCCCTCCTGAGCTGCTGGGAGGCTCTTCACGGAAGACTCTCGATCCTGGGCTGGGCCCCTGCTCTCTGCTGGAGTCGGGCTGGGTCTCTGGTTCACCTTCCTATGGTGAGCCTGGGAACACAAGGAAACCTTTTCATGTTGACTTCCTTGAACCCCTGAGGGATCTTGGCAGGGAGGCCTGGGATGTAGAAAGCACAGCAATGATGATGAAGAAGAAAAAGAAGAAACCAAAGCAAAAGAGATATTCTCAACCCCGGGCTGGGGGGCCTTGGGATGATGAGAATGCAAAAGAGCCCAAAGGTCATCCCTTTGCAGCCGACTCACAAAAGTCAGGTGCTCTCCCCAGCCAGTCTACCGCTGTGGGCGCCGAGTGTGGACCAGCATCCAGAGGAAACCTGAAAAGGGGATGTGCATTTGACTCCAGAGCAGCCAAACTGGCAGCTGAGAACTTTGTCTCAGAAGGCCGCAGTGTTCCTTTGTGTCCTTTGGAAGAACCCCCGAAAGCCACAGTAGATTCTCTGCTGAGTGTAGATGCAGAGGTCAAAGGTCACAAGTCAGGACCACAGAGCCAAGACACGAAATCTCTGCTGCCAGGTGAATGCAAATCACAGACTGCTCCCCACCTGGAGGGTCCGAGGGATAAAGGCCAGACAGTAGGCTCTGTGAAACTGGGAGGGCCCCAGACAGAAGTTTCTGCACACAAAGTAGAAATTCCTTTGGAGATCAGACCCCAAGATGGTTGCTTCCCTGTCTTGGACAAGGAGGCTATGGGAAAAGTTTTAAAACCCACAGCAGCAAAAGAACTGCCTAATTTGATACCCATTTTGACAGCCAGTGATCCGTTAGAAAGTAGTCTGCAAGAAGGGAATGGCGGAAGGAAAATGACTAAGCTGCAGAAGGACACACACAAAGAGTTCTCTGAAGGAGCTAAAGATGTTCAAGAACTTAACAAGGAAGTTTTTCCCAAGCAAAGACAAGAGACGAGCATCTTAGCTTCTGAGCAGCCACAGGACAAGGTTCAGGTTCCTGAGCCAGGGAATGAACCATTTAAGAAAATGGCAGGTGATGGCAAAAGCAGGAAGGGCAGGGGAAGTTCTGGGAAAGTGAGAGCTAGTTCTGGGAAGGTAAGGGCAAGAGCTGAGCCGATGGTCCTTCCAGACAGCCAGGGGGACGGCAGAGCCGTCCCTGCGCCAGGCGAGCTGGCCCCTAAAACCGAAAGAATGACTGCTCAGAGTGCGGAGCTGGGGCTGTATTCTTCCAAGCAGCCGGGGATCGCAGCTGATCTCCCCCAGGCAGTGGTTGTGCGGGAGCCTGAGAAGACAGCTGACCCTAGTGTGGCAAGTACCTTGCAGGCACTGATTCCTTTGGGAGCTGGGTCGGGCGTGACTCAGACTTCCAGTGCTACAACAGAGAGGGGAGCTGTGGCCATAGATCTGGGTGTCAGCAACCAGAGCAAGGAAGGAGGGTGTCCTTGGGTGGACCGTGAGACAGCTCCCTGGATTTCTGAGAAACCTAAAAAAAGAAGCAGTGAAGGCAAAAACAAAAAGTTTAAAAATAATTATTCCACACAGCCTACTGGGGTGGAGAGCAAAGAAGAAATCCTCAGCCCACCTTTTGCAGGGAAGGACGGAGGTGCTGAGGGCACTCTCCACCCAAACAGGGATTCAGGACTCACTTTCCCCGTAAGTCAGGAGCCTTTGTGCTCACAGACATTGAAGACGCCCACAGTGGAGGTAACTGACCGAAAGGGTAGAAATGTTGAGGTTAATTCTCTTGAGCTTGGGGCTGTTGGTGGGAACAAAACAGGCACAGTCAGGGATCCTGCTGTTAGTGAAGCAGCTACCAAGGTGACAGATGTGAGCTGCCAAGACCAAATCCAGGGGGCGGGACTTGTTCCTTCAGTGCTGCCCGGGGAGCAAAAGACAGACGCAGCCAGCGGGCACGCTGCAGTGGCTGACAAACCACCCAAAAGGAGTAATGATGGCAAAAGTAAAAAGAAAAATAGCTTTCCTGAGAAGCACATTTTGGAGAATAAGGCAGATGCAACAAAAAGACATGTTCCCGTGGAAGCCACGGGGGACCACAGAATAGAAGGAATGGGTTATGTGGATGAAAACAGAAATATCACATTTGCCTGCCCCAGAACACCCCCTGCGGTGATGAGTACTCAGTCAGCCCCTCTGAAGGCTCTGGACTCAGCAGCCTGTGAAAAGCTGCCCACTCCCACTCCTCAGTTAGTAAAGAAAGGTGATTCCTTTTCAGACACCTTGGCGGAAAGTAGGCAAGAGACAGCTCTGGCCCACATTTCCAAATTATCAGTGGTAGATAATTGCAGCAAAGATGGAGTCCCAGATCAAGAAAGATCCAAGGCTTCCTCTGCTGCTGTGCCCTTTGCAAGCACAGGAGGAGGTGTCCTGACTTTTACAGCGGCCACAGAAACAGTGAAGAGCCCTGGAGATAACCATCTAAAGAACAGAGGTGAGCTTGCTGACCCCATGAAAAATGAAGCAGGGACGGACGGAGGGCCTGTGGCCGGAGCGTCTGAGTCAGTGCCCAGCGGTGCATCTAAGCGTCCCATAGAGAAAATCACAGAAGTGACAAAGGAGCGCCCTTCTGGAGCGCCAGCAGAAGACCAGAGCCTGCCAGGTGAGCTCAGAGGCCTAGAAGTGTGTGCAGACAGGAGTAATTTCCCAGCAGATCCAGTAAACAAAAAGAAAGAGTCTGAGGCAGGTTCTGCTTCAGCTGATGTTCCTGGCTTACTGGGAGACAAATCACAGAAGCCCCGTGTCTGTGAGGACCAAACTGCTGACGGTAGCGAGTCTAGGGGCCCAGCTAGTTTGAATACGGCCGTGGATGTGACTGTTTCCCCTCCAAAAAGTCAGAAGGATAAATTGGAAGGAGTTAGCCTGGCTTCTAAAGCCACCGAAGGAGAAGATGCTTCCTCGCCAACACCACAACCGCAGTCAGATTCCTCGGAGGGCCCAGCTGGAGCTGCCCCTTCGAGGGTGGTAGATAACTTAGCAGTGACTGTTCCCAAGGGTCTTCAACCCCCAGAACCCAATGATAAGATCTTGGAGGCACCTGAGAAAATGACAGAGAAACTTGAATCAAAGGCCCTGGAAGAAGGGAAGAAGGAAGAAAAAAAAGTGGTGGAACCAATAAAAGGCTACATGAGGCCCACCAAGTCCCGGGGACTTCCTCCACCTCTGCCGAAGTCTGCAGCCCAGGAACGAGAGAGGGCCAAGCAAGCCAAGCCCGGCGGTATGAACCTGCCTCGGGGCAGCGTGTGTGCTTGTGGCTTTTGAGTCTGCATCGGGGAGGCAGAGAGCTCGTGCTGTGGTTCCACCCCAGCTCTAATCATCTTTGTTAATTGGTGATTTGTTGGCATGAAAAATGTATAACTGCTAATTACATGTTCTGCAGCCGAGGCATGTCTTGTGTCCAGCTTGAGGAGGCTGGTGACCTGGTTGCATGCCTTTCCTACCCAGCAGGGAACCTGGTTTTAGGCGAAGTTGAATTCAAACAGTGAATCGTTTAGCAGAAGGCCTACCACCAGCCACTGTCCTTAATTTTTTTTTAAAGTGTGCCTGTGTATGGAAAGTTTCCAGCCACATTTCAATCACTATTTTGTGTAAGGAGGAGAGAGCAGCCACGCCCAGCCGTGTGGAGTGGTGTTTATTTGTTAGTATGTGCAGGGATGGGAAGAAGCAGGAATGTAGTTGTGAGTGTGCGAAACAGAGTTTATTCTTGTATTACTATTAATTGTTGCATTACTGTATTGTATTAACTGGAAGCTTATGTTTGCCCACCGCTGTATATGTGTCTCATGCTGGTGGCAGTAAATATCGACACAGTTTTCAGGTTAAATGAAAATGCTCTGCCTTTGATGGGGAAATGGTGGCAGCCTCTGGCCGGCACCAGTAGGCACAGGCTGCACTTGTGTTTCTCTCAGTGGGCAGTGTCCCCCAGGGAGGAAGCCGCACGGTTCATAGCGTGTTGCTTACAGCCAGTGGCCCACGGCTGCCTGCGGGGTAGGGCTGTGGGCACAGTCCCTGCCCACCAAACCGTTTGTGCCCACGGCACGTCTGTGGAACTTGCCCGTGTGGGACTCCTCATAATTTTGCCATTTTGGGCTCTAATCAATCGAGTAGTTGGAAGGAGATTAAGAGAGACTATTCCTTAAAGATTTAGAAATGTTAGCCTTTTTTTTTTTTTTTTTCTTGAAAAAACAATTGTCACTTTCCTGAGCCTAACCTTTAAAAAATGGTTCCTGGCCTTTGAGGTTTTTTCACAACCTACAAATAATACTACTTCTTAATCACTGTTTCCCAACTTGCATGATATATCTACTAACTCAGAAATTAAGAACAAAACAAAACAATGACTCCAGTTGGCCTCGGCAGCCAGGCAGGCTGCGGGAAAGGCCTGGCGTGGGGCACTGTTCTGCACTATGCGTACTTGCTGTTTTGGGTGAAGCCTGTGCTGTGCATGGCTTTGTGCTCAGTGAGGAACGGACGGATGCTGTGTGGATACAGAGTGCTGAAGGTTGTTATTTGCATGCGATATTTTCATTTTCATCTTTTCTATTTTCATGTTCCTGCTATTAGCTACCTTGTTGCCAAGGCAGAAAACCAAGTCCAGTGTAGGGGGCGTTCCAGCTTCCGTTAAGATCTCCAGTGTTCTGTCCACTTCCATAGCTTCAGTTTATAGATTGGTTCTTTCGTTTCAGCGTTGATACAAGGGCAGCGTGTCAATTTTCTGAAATCTAGCCATCTCTTTTTGGTCTATATCTTCCAAGAAATGTAGAAAGAGGATTTGTTCCGATTCTGGAGGAAACGAGGCAGATGCTGTTTTCCTCTCCAGGTACAACCAGTGTTCACAGCGTCTTACACATCCTTCCAGGCCCTTTAATGCAGAAGGGAGCAAGGCTATGGATATTTCCTGCTTTTGTATAAATGAGACAGGTCACACATACTGCCGTGTGCCTTGCTGTGTAAACTTACTTTAGAGTGCTCTGCAAATTAGTACAGAGAAATGGACCTTTTTTAAAATAGCTGTGTTGTATGTGAGGATATACCCTAAAGTCTCTCACCAGTTCTTTATTGGTGGGCATTTTCCTCATTTAGAAACAAGGTGCATAAACTAGACTTGTACGTACAGAATACCGTAATTGAGCCAGTATAATAAGGGGCTATGGCGTGTTGCTGAGTTGTCCCCCACAGGGCCCACAGAGCTGTTCCCCACGCCAGCACGACCCGTTGGCACCTGTGCCGCTGCTCTCTCTCCACCAGGCCGGCTTTTCTTTTTTAGTTTTGTGTGCTGATGCAGTTGGTGAAAAATTATTTCCTGGCATAGATTTTGTGTTTTACTTACGTAAGGACTTCCTTGTATATTACTGAGTTTATAAAAGACATCTCTACTGTTTATAAAAATATTTTCTCTTTAATTTTTAATATTGACTAGGGCTTATAACCCTCTTATTCTTTTTCAGAGTTTTCCTGGCTATTCTTGCTTGTTTATTATTACGTATAAAGTTGAAAATTGGTATTTACAATTTTGAAGGGGAAAAAATCCGGTCAATCTGTTTTTGAAATCACATTAACTGTATAGATAACCCTAAGGAGAGGTGATGTCTTCTGTGTTGACTTTTCTATCCTCCAGCATAATAATGTGGCATGTTCAATAATATTACATGTTCAAGTTTATGTGTCCTTAACCCTCACTGGTATTTCGATGTTTTCTTTAGACACATCTTGCATATTTCTAGAAGGGCTTATTCCAAGACATCCAGGGGGGCGGGGAATGTGCAGAGCAGAGCTTCAGGCAGGCCTGGGGCTCGGAGGCAGGGGACTGGGTGGATTGGAAAGTATCTGCGTTTGTAGTTGGAGACTGGGCAGGGTGACCCCTTACACCCAAATACCATTGTTCGTGCAGACTCTGAAGTTTCACCCAGACTGGTTCCAAACCTGGCCTTACTAAACTTTGTCTTTTTTCCTAGCTTCAAATCATGCACCCTGACTGCCTTGCCCCCAGGTTGCCGGTGATTCTCACAGAGATTGTTTTCATTTGCCCTGTGGTCTGATGGCCTTAGCCACGGTTTTCAGCGTTCAGGCAGTAAAGATTTTAGTAGGATTAATAAAAATAATATCAACTACCATCTATTGCCTGAAGATTCTATGCGGAGGTATCTATAGCTAGATAGGTAATAGTCACTCACACAGACACACACACTCTACAATATCATGAGGGACTCTCCATTTACAGGTGAGAAAAAGATGAAAGTTGGTAATTAGTGATTTTATTTTTTATTGTATTATCTAAGCACTGACCACAGCACTTTTCGAGTTGGAGAAATGGAGACACAGCTTGAGGACATAACATCGGAAATCAGAAGCTGCCTGGGGGTTAGGATCTCGGCCTCTTGCCTCTGACATCTCATGCTCTGGGCAGAGATGTGTTTGATTTATTCATGTGGTCCTCTTCGTGCCCACACGAGCGTTGCATTTATGCGGTGTCTGACATCGTCTGAATTATCAATGTATTACCTTTGGCTTTGGAAGCAGGGAAAGTGAAAATACTGCTAAAGGCTCTTCCAGCTTAATGTTCCCTCTCTCATTTATTCGTGTCACTCTTAAGTTGGGGGACTTCAGCAGAAGGTTTCTTCACTTATCATCCATGTTGCCCTGAGCCGGGAATGTTGAGCCACTTTGGAAACTCAGAGCTCAACTCGTCAGAAGAGGATTCCTCGAGGGTCTGTTTTCTGTGAAGTTGCAGGGTGATCTCCAGTGTACCCTGTTGCTCTCCTGGGAGCAGAGGGGCTATGAGTGGCAGTGCACTTGTCACATGGTGCTCTGAGGGGGACAGTTACGGGTCCCTGTGGATAGGCCCTTCCTTCTACAGCAGCGACAGCCTGGTCTCCTTTTTTCCTGGCTTCATTTCTTTTTCTGTAGTTTGCTTGAGCCCATCAACTGTCTTCTAGCAGCTGGGAATGTGAGTTTGTAGTGAGAAATTCTCTTGGTGTGAAACTCAATGTAATTTATAAAGCCTGAACCTTAACAGTTTCAAGGCCCTTGTACATAAATAAAATATGTACAGCAGATGAAAAAATGATTGATAATTTTAGAACTCGCTACAATTTTACAACTGGAGAGATGCCCATTTGTTAATGTCTTTTCCTAACAGCAGTGCCATTTGTCAAGTTCCTTCTCTTACCGCTTCCTTCCCACGTAGACTTCCATTCTCTGGCTGGTTTTGTTTTACTGGCTGTATGTGTATCAGTGAAATTTACTGCTAGTTCTGTATGTCACGCAACTAAGAAGAAATTGAGCATTAGCTCAGCACTGTCTTAAATTCTTTTCACCCCCAACAATCCTGTGCTCCTATTCACCTTATTTCAATAAGAGCATTTAAATATCCTTTGAAATGAGTGCGGCAAATATCGGTTATTGTACTTTAAAAAGAGGTTCTTCTCCTCATGTCCCCTCCCCCCCCCACTTGTACCCTCTGGCCCACAGTAGCATTTGAGGGTTCAGAAAACCAATGACCAACAGCTTCTGATTCGGGGCACTGAAAAGGTATTTATATTTACTTCCTTGGAAGGCGAGCAGGAGTTCCTGTTCTCTGGGGTAAGGTGAGCTGGCTGAAGCCCAGTCGGAGGAGTGTGATGGGGGTGTTTTCCCTGAGTCACTTGTCTTAGATTTGTGGCTCAGGTGGGGCCAGTGGAGCGGCCTCCATTTTTGTAGGTCCCGGTATATGAATTACCTTGGTCAAGGGTCACATAAATCAAATTCCTAGCTTCAGTCTTTTCATTCTGTTTGTGTCCCAACTTTTTAAGTAAATCAGGGAGAGTCATGATTTTTTTGATTCTCTTATTCTAAGAAATGTTTCTAGAATTTAGTTAGAACATAGTTTTGAGGTGTTTTGCATATATGTTTGAATGTACAAACACAAACACCATTTACTTTCAGGTAAGTAACTAGATAGCAACTTCACAACCTTTAGCTCTTATTAGTACAGTGTCATCAATCACTGTAATCACTAGAGTTATCGACTTCCACTGTATGATAATTTATTAGGCAATTTTTCCTGGTGACAATAATAGGGAACATTTGATCAGTCTGGAGTGTAGCTTTGTTGCCTTGGTAACTAAGAAAGAATGTAGGGCATCCAGTTGTGGAACATAACAGAAGCAAGGCCTGAACAAGTTGAAAACTCACCAGGCAACACCAGAAACATCTGCAGGCACATCTGCTGAAACCTGC